GCTAAGTCGTGGGTTGACACTACAGCGATTTCTTAACTTGATTGAAGAAATCCAACTATTTCTGGCGGAAAAGAAAAACGACGTCCCCGAACTCGACAACCCTGATTGGCTGTGTGACTTAGCGTTTCTTGTAGACATCACAAATCACTTGAATGTCTTAAATACGCGACTCCAAGGCAAAGATCAATTGATTTCGCAGCTATACTCTCATGTTTCGTCCTTTCAATGCAAATTGAGTCTTTTCAGGACACAAATCAATTCAGCCAATTACGGCCATTTTCCGAACTACAAAAAAATTATGGAGAAGTTCAATAAAACTGACGTCAATTTCGCTCATGTTGAAAAAATTGATATTTTGATACAAGCTTTTGAAAATCGTTTTGTAGACTTCAAAAAAGTTAAACCGCTATTGGACATTTTCAGCAATCCTTTCAACATTTCACCCGAAAATGCGCCGGAATTAATGCAGCTGGAATTAATAGACATGCAAAATGATGATAATTTAAGAAACAAATTTAATGAAGGTAATTTACTCAACTTCTACCGTTGCGTTGATAAAAACGCTTATAAAGAGTTGCGAATAAATGCATTGAAATGCGCAAGCTTATTTGGATCGACGTATATTTGTGAACAAACGTTTTCAGTGATGAAACTTAACAAAACGAAAAACCGAAACCGTCTGGCAAATGAAAATTTGGAAGCAATTATACGTGTGGCTACAAGTAATGTGGAGCCAAATATAAAAAAACTTGTTAGTTCAATGCAATTTCATGCATCAAAATAATAAAACATGAAATATTACATTGTAATGATTATATAATTATTACAACAAACATTTTTGAAGGTTATTTTATTTTTATCATTGTTTTCATACTATTTAAAAATAAAAAAATTTGTGTTAATAAATATTGTTTGTAGTGGCCCGTCCTTGGCTTATATTTTTACTGAATGGCCCATGTTCCCTATAAGTCTGTGCATCCCTGGTTTAAAACAATATAATGTAATGGTATTTTAAACCGGTATTAAATTGGGTAGAACTATTAACAAGTGAATACATTTTTTTCAAAATCAAAATCAACCTTATTAACAAGATGTTCCTGTAAAATAGGACCTGTCATCTAGTGGCAACTATGATGTATTTGCCCACAATGCAAAAAGTACCTAAATAGGACACATCCTGGAATATGTATGGATCGGAATTAACGATCCCGTAAGCGTTATTAAGCGTTATAAAGCGTTATTAAAAAATTGTTTTATTAACTAAATCTCCACTTTGAAAATACATCTAAATTTTATGGTTTTAAATTAGATAAATTGGATCATCCACATTTTCAGGGGTAAGCGATTTTAAGTCTTCTCTAAAAATATAAGGTATATTGCTTGAAAAAATAATTTAATTCATTTTCGAGCGTAGAAAATATTACGGGCTTTGAGTACTTTCAATTTGATCGCAAGATATGTCGAATTTTCGGAATTTATTTAAAAAATACGTTTGTTTGAAATAAAGAGTGAAAAAACCTTCTTGCCAAAGAAAATTTTCTTTGATTCCAGTGCGATGTAGAATTTATTTAAAAAAAATCTACTTTACGTCACTGAGAAGCTCTAACAACTGGTTTTTATAGAATCACTACAACTATAGTACAAAAAACATACCGTAATTACGTTTTGAAATATAAATTTATATCTCATGTCAATACTAACTTGTAGTTTGTGCACGAAATTGGATGTTAGTTTTCACTAGATAAATACTAAGTAATGTAGAAATATTTGCAATACTTACAGAAACAATTATGATGGGTAAGGTGTACTGAAAAATCAGCGAGAATATGGAATAATACGCCCTTCCATGTTCGATGGGCCAATTCTCGATGCAGAAGTTAATATTTAAATCGGTTCCCAATTTTATCGTGTGGTGAACCAGATGTCTCACAATGAAGAGAGGCATTGCCAAGATTAAGGCGAACACCCAAATTAGCAGTAAAATTAGGGCAGCTCCGAACAGCTGCAGACTTTCTTTTGTTGGATACACGATTACCTGGAATAAAGAAAAATAATTATGTTAATTAATCTGAAAAAACGCAAAAGTTTGAAATAGATCTTTTAGGATATGTTATATGTAATATCTTAAATGCCATTGATACTTAATGTCTACCATCATAAATATGTATATTAGGGTGGCCCAAAACAACGAATTTTTTTTTTTTCGTGTGTCTTGTGAAAATATGTTAGTTTATCATGTTTTAAGAGCTTCCTCAAAAAATCAGCCCAAAAAAAAAATTATTAGAGGTCGCTCAACACTGAAAAAACAATTACTTTCTATTAAAGCGGTTGTTTTGAATGCAATCAGTTTACATTTATGCAAGTTACATTAAAATAACCCAGTTACATTCAATACAAATCATTTGATTTGTTTGAATTAAAAAAAGAAACAGTTTACAACAGGTTTGTCCATAATTAACAAATTAGATTTAATATAACCATTTATGATTTTAGAATATTTAATTAAAACAATAAATTTTTAATACAAATTTATATTCGTTTTTAGTTAATAAATATTATTTTATATTGGCCTATCAAACGTTACAATTAAACTTTAAAGGAAAATTATTCCAAATATATAATTTCTTAAATGTGAACCAGCTGGTTATAAAAGTTAAATTTTTATATAGTTTAAAACTATTATCAGTTCAATAGTAAAATATATTATTTAAAAATTATTCCAATCACGTGACCAAGTTGTGTTCTCCCCTGACAGTCGTATCTTCGCCATCATGGCGACTATGTATGCAAGCTGCCTGTAGTGTATTGTTTAGTTCAGTAGGCTAGTATGGACCTCGG